GCTGGGATTTCTGGTGTGAGTTGCAGACCCAGCCCTCTACAAATGAGGTATTTTGCAATTAGCTAGGTGGTGCAGGCCTGTGGTCCCAGCTGCTCATGAGGCTGAGGTGGGAGGATCACTTGAGCCCAGAAGTTCCAGGATACAGTGAGTTATGATTGCACCACTGCACTCCAGCCTGGACAACAAAGTGAGACCCAGGGATTAAAAAATAATATTAATAATGTAGAGATGAAGAACAGATTACTGATTCCTGGTGTTAAGAAACATGCATGTCTCGGAAGTGCAGAGAAGTCTCCATACACACAATGCACACACACATGCACTCACAAACAAGCAGACACATTCAGACACACACACATGTACAAATGCATACATATGCATTCAGATACTCAGACATCCACACACACACTCACATGCACACACGCAGACACACACTAACAGACACACACAAGCATTCAGATGCTCAGACACCCACACACATACTCGCACATACACACACCCCGACAGACACATGCATACACCCACACACATACACATGCATGCACACACATGCGTGTGAAGTGGTGGAATCTGACCAGGCTCTACAGGTTAATACCAATGCCAACTTCCCAGGTCTGACACGGCACCACGGGCAGTGGGTCGGCAAGATGGTACCCCTGAGGTGGCTGGGTTTGAGAAGCACACCCTCTGCCACTTCCCATGAATCTTGAATGACTTCAGAATAAAAAAAGTGGATTGACTCCAAGAACGAGGGCTCAAGAGAGTAACAGAAAATTCACCAAAAAAGTCACACATAGGCTCTGTCTCCTTCCGAAAAGAGCACCCTCTATTAATCAAATGAATGGCAGGAAAAGACATCAGCTTTGTCACCTATCACATGAGAGACCATGTTGTCACCATGTTGGCCAGGCTGGTCTTGAACTCCTAGCCCCAGGTGACCCTTTTACCTCAGCCTCCCAAAGTGTTGGCATTACAGGTGTAAGCCACTATGACCGGCCACAAGGGACATTTTCAAGTGAAAAAACATCCATGGAGGTCAGGCACAGTGGCTCACACCTGTAATCCCAGCACTTTGGGAGGCCAAGGCGGGCGGATTGCCTGAGGACAGGAGTTTGAGACCAGCCTGGCCAACATAGTGAAACCCCGTCTCTACTAAAAATACAAAAATTAGCTGGGCATGATGGCATGGAACTTGTGGTCCCAGCCACTTGGGAGGCTGAGGCAGGAGAATCGCTTGAACCTGGGAGGTAGAGGTTAGGGTGAGCTGAGATCACGCCACTGCACTCCAGCCTGGGTGAAAATAGCAAAACTCCATCTCAAAACAAACAAAAAAATCCATGGACCTAGCAATTCCACTCTATAACCCTTACCCAAAGGAAATCCCCTGTGCCAGGTTACTCCAGGGTTTTCTCTAAAAACAGAGGTGTCTGCTCTGTGACTCGTCATTCTGAGTGTGTGTTACACATACAGTCACACAGAGAAAGCTACAGGAAATTAAAAATAGGAAGGACTTTCCTTTCCTCTGTCAGCGAGCATTTCCTGGTGTCTCTCGTGGCCTTGGATCCTGTCTTTTTTTGGCAGAAGATGAGGTGTCACTCAGAGATCTGTGCCTCAAGGTATCCAAAAATGGGACGTGGTGAGCAGGAGAAGGCATACAAAAATTACTCCCGTTTTAAATGTTTTCCAGTCCAGACAACTAAGAAATCCTGGTTTTCCTTAAGTTCATCTCTAATGCCTTTTTTGTTTTGCTTTTGTTTTGAGACAGGGTCTGGCTGTGTTGCCCAGGCTGCAGTGCAGAGGTGCGATTTTGGCTCACTGGAGCCTCCGCCCCCCAGGCTCCAGCAATCCTCCTGCCTCGGCCTCTGAAGTAGCTGGAACCAAAAGTGTGCGTCACCACGCCCAGTTAAGTTTTGTATTTTTACTAGAGATGGGATTTCGCTGTGTTGCCCAGGCTGGTTTCAAGCTCGAGCTCAAGTGATCCTTTCGCCTTGGTCCCCCAAAGTGCTGAGATCACAGGCATGAACCACTGTGTCCCTCCCCTTTCTGCTTGCTTGAATTGGGGTCTTGCCATCACCCAGGCTGGAGTGCAATGGCTCAGTGCAGCCTTGACCTCCTGGCCTCAAGCAATCCTCCTGCCTCAGCTTCCTAAAGTGCTGGGATTACAAGCGTGAGCCACCTCACCCAGTACCTAACTCCTCTTGACACCAATTTTTAAGTATTAATAAATGCCGCAGAAAAGGCAGACCCTTCACAAGGCAAAGCTCATGTTTAATTTTCAGGCACACGTTTCACGCTTGCCTGGGCTTCTGACTCTCAGATCTGAAGTTTCCTTTCAATCGAGTTTAAGAGAAGCAAGGTGACTTAAACGGGAACTAGAGCAGGGTGCATGAGGAAGGGGTCCAGGTGGAGAACACAGCCGGAGGACTCCATCAGCACTGGGGACTCCTGGCAAAGGGTGGGGTCCCTGAAGCCGACTGGGCTCTGCCTGGAAGGGGGCCAAACCCAGTGTTCCAGGGAAGTGGCAACAGTTTGGGAAGGGATCTCGCAGCTCCATCCTGCTGATGAGCCCCAAACTCCCCTCTTCCCGGGTCCTTGGAGAATAGGAGGAGGAGGAGGAAAATGACTGCAGCTCCCGGGCCCTGCCAGGACCCCTCCATCGCTCATACCCACCAACTCACTGAACCCGAAGATGGAACAGGTACCCATCTTGTGTGAGCTTTGGAGGGGGGATGCTGCATCTGAGGACAGTGCCACAGCCTGCAGGTGTCAGGAGAGTGGCGGCAGTGAGGGGGGTGCCACCAACTCCAGCCTTGAGGCTCTGCATCCTGCACCACCCCAGGCTCAGGCTGGTGTTAACCACATGGACTGAACTGGGGTGTCAGGGGTCACCTGGCTGTGTCCAGGAGCTGGCGGGAATCCCAGGCTGGAGCACCCACAACACGTCCCTCAAGAGCAAGAAAGCCAACATGCTGGGCCTCACTGGGCTGCTGAAGACTGCCCCAATGTTGTGGTGGGGACGAGGCAAGACCCTCCCCACCTACAGCGTTGGGGCAGGGCCAGAGCTCCTGAGGCAGCTATAAGGAACCACGGAAAACCAATCTGCAAACATTTGAAGGGTCACTGCTGGGACCGGGCTGGGTGTCGAGGCAGAGGCATCCCAGAGGGAGCATTCTCAGGGCCCGGCAGCCTGCACACCATGGCTCTGGCTACCCAGGCACCAGCCTCAAAGCTGGGGGCCCATACCAGAGCTGAGGGGGTGAGAGAGGACAGCGGACGAGGAAAGATGCCTCCTACTCCTCCTCCACACCAGGCCCGGCTGTAAGCCCGCACAGAGGCCCAGGGGGATGAGGATGGACGACCTTGGGAGCTGCACCTCCTCCTCCGGGAACCCCCAGGGCTTGACCCTCTGCCTCACGCAGGGAAGCTTAGCATGTCCAGTTCCTGAGGCTGTTTCTGGGGGCTGGTGGGGTGGTATTTGGGGATTTCCATGCCTTAGGGAGTATTCCAGCCAGCCCTGGGGCCACTTCCTCAGGCAGAGGGGAAGACCATCGCAGGGCAGTGAGGGTGACAAACTGATGACCCTCCATGTGGGGGTGGGGGTGCCCAAGTACAGACTCCCCTCACTCACAACTCAGAACCCCAAGACTCCAGCCAGAGCCCACCCCAGGGGTATCCTAGATATGACTTCAAGACGAAACTTTCTCCCCAGGTCCTGGAGGTGGGAAGGACACAGCCTCGAGGCCCAGTCCCAAGGGCCCACCAACAAGAAAGATGCTGGTGTCCTTGAAGACACCCAGAGGCTCTGAAGCAGCATCGGGCACCTGCCCCAGCCCCCACCAACTCCTGCAGACAGCCAGCATGGGCCTCCCACGATGCACATTAGACTCCACCCTCTCTTCACAACCATCCAGGGCTCCCTGCTGGCCCCAATACAAAGACAGCGCCCCCCCACACCCCCACCACTGCTGCCTCAGGGATTCTGTAGGAGCTGTTCCCACTGCCTGGCACACTGTTTCCCAGTCCCTTGCTCTCACCTTCAGGGCTCTGCCTGACAACCCCTCTTCAGACACCTTCCGCAGAGTCCCAGCTCTGGGGCAGCCTGGCCCTGGCTGGGAATGCCATTAATTCCTGGCCATGATTTGTTCTTGATTTTCTTTCTTTTTTTTTTTTTGAGATGGAGTTTCACTCTTGTTACCCAGGCTGGAGTGCAATGGCGCAATCTCGGCTCACCGCAACCTCTGCCTCCTGGGTTCAGGCAATTCTCCTGCCTCAGCATCCTGAGTAGCTGGGATTACAGGCACGCGCCACCATGCCCAGCTAATTTTTTGTATTTTTAGTAAAGACGGGGTTTCACCATGTTGACCAGGATGGTCTCGATCTCTTGACCTCATGATCCACCCGCCTCGGCCTCCCAAGTGTTGGGATTACAGGCTTGAGCCACCACGCCCGGCCTGGTCTTGATTTTCAGACGTCTCCCCCATCTGTTCCGCCCACTGTCGGGTCACTGGGGAGGGTGACCAGCTCTTCCACGTCCGCCTGGGCTCTTTCTGGTTTGAGCACTCAGAGTCCCAGGTCCCAGGAATTGCCCCTCAATCCTGGGCAAACCAGGATGGCCAGACACCCTCGTGCTGGGACCTGCATATAGCAAGCACCCAATCCCTGCTTAAAGGAAAGCAATGGAGGCTCACCAGGTGTGTGGGATGCAGTGAGCTGGGATTCTGTGCCACAACCCTCCAGGGCCTCAGTTTCCCCCTGGCTGGAGATCCTCACCCAGACAGAGGCCCAGCCCCAACCCCATCCTAACAGCAAGGCCCCCCTCCTGCCCCCACCCCAGGCTCCAGGGACACACGGGCAGGAGCAGTTTATTCCGGGGTCCTCAGTCTCGCTGGCCCTGACCCGGCCTGTGCGGCCCCTCCCCCAGCCTCCCTGGCCCCATGCACTGTTTTCCACATACCCTCCATCTCTGCTCCACCAGTGCTGGCAGGAAGGCGGGGTCCTACCTGAAGCTCCAAACTGCGCACAGGCCAGGGAGGCACGCCAGCCCTTCCTATTGGTGACAGGCAGCGGGAACATCTGCAGAGCAGGAGGGGTGAGGTGAGGTGAGCGGGGCAGGCAGCAAACCAGACCCCAATCCCGGCTAGAACCCAGGCAGGGAGCAGAGCTGGGGACACTCGGGGACCTGGAACCAGCCTCCATCTAGGCCCATCCTGTCCTGCTCCATCCCACTAGAGACCAGAAGACTGAGGCCCTGCTGGCCCTCAGCCACGCTGTACTCCGACATCCACACCCAGGGTGAGGAAACTCCAGACAATGACCATTCTGCTGCACTGCCAGGCACAGCATCCCTGGAAGGGAAAATCTGCTGTTTCCCTGGCATTCACTTTGGGGGGGGGCGGAGCATCCTGTTTAGACTAAAGATACAACTTAACAGCTCTCACAGTGATACAAGGTTGTGTTTACCAGTGACATAAACTTGTCCTCACTTGCCAGCTCTGAGAAGTGAGGGGTTCACCCTGAACAGGTGGACACGAATCCCCAGACACCTGAGGCTTGGCTGGCTCCCCGTTGCAGGTGTGTGCACTGGCCCTGGGTGGCAGGGCCTGCAGCAGGGGGTGGGGCTCAGTGTCCCCTACCAGGGCTGGGTATGGGTTTGTCTGGCAGAAGGGGAAACCAAGATGCAGACAGGCAGCAGGAAGAAGACATGGGATGGAGCCTGGGGCCTGCAGGAAGCCAGAGGGGCTGGGGAGAAGCCAAACCCCACAACTGATCCAGGGTCTGGGTGCAAGGGGTGTAGGACTGCCACCCTCCCCCCTCCCGGGTCACCAGTACCCAGGGTACTAAGTCCCTCAAAATTAAAGGGCTTAGCAGCATTAACCAGAAAAGCCAACATCAACAAAACCTTTTGCCAGAAAAAAAACAAAAACAAAACCCTCGCTGCCCTGCCCTTCCCCAGGGGGCTGCATTTTAAAGCTTCCATTTGGGGTGTGAGGGATCAAAGTGGCTGGAATCGAGGCAAGGGGCTTTTTGAGGCACGGCCAACCCGACCATCCCTGAAATCTTCCCGAGCCAGGCAGGAGGTGAAGGCATGACACCTCTGCCACGATCCTGGGACTGGTGTCACCACACCAAAGAGGACCCAGGAAATGGGGTTCTATCCCCCACTCCCTGGTTCCACCAAAAGGCGAAATGGAGGCCGAACTCTCACCTGGCCCCCGAGAGGAAGAACACCCAAGTGGGCAGGGCTGGCACCAAGGCTGGAGGCAGAGTTCACCCAGGACTGCACCCCTCCCACCAGCTCAGGTGTGCCCGCCTCCCCAGGACCCTGGTCTCTGAGGCCCACTCTGGCATTTTGAAAACTGAGGCCAGCCTTGGGGACAGGCAAGCCTGAGCCTGCCCATGTAAGGAGCTGCAGCCCACTGCATCTCTATTTGCATTGCTCCCTAGGACAGCAGGGCTGTGCTGACATGGCAAGGGCTACAGGGTAGTGGGCTGTGTCCTGTGGGTTCTGCAGGCCTCGTGAGCAGCCCAGAATAGCCCCTGTGCCACTTGAAGCCTCGGCTTCCTCTTCTGTGAAATGGACTCAGGCTCTGGCTGCGTGGGCTGCAATGAAACACAAACGCCCATGGGCACCTCTGCTCGGCAAGCATGACTGTACTCCTGGGCTCAGGACTAAGCCCCGGACTCCCGCCAGGGACTGCCTGGGACCCATGCACAGCAGGTCAGTGAAGGCCAGCAGCCCCTGGCCCTTCCTGCCCCTGACAGAGCCAGCCTGGGTCTGGACAGCCCAGTCAGCTTCCTCCATCACATGTATTCAGAGTGGCCTCTTCTCCCACTTTACACGAAATTGTTCCAGGGAAGCACCCTGACGTGGGGGCACAGGGCCACTCTGGGGCTGTGGGCAGGAATTAGGACTGCCTCTGCCCCCACAACCTGGCCAGCAGGTGAAATGCCAGCTCTGGGTAAAGCTGGAGGGGAAGATGCTAAAGAGGACATGCACCTCACTGCACCCAGCCCGTTTTCTTGCGTGGGAAAGGGGCTGCTAGATCCAACCTGAGACGAGGAGACGGGATGAGATGTGCTGAGATGCTAGGTGAGGAGCAGGTCCTGGGGCTGAATCTGCACCCGCTCCCCCCAAACCCCAATCCGTTCCTGCCCAGTGGTCTGTGACTTCTCAGTTTAACAAAAACAACCAAACTGTGCCAGTCGCAGTGGCTCATGCCTGTAATCCCAGCACTTTGGGAGGCTGAGGCGGGTGGATCACAAGCTCAAGAGATTGAGACCATCCTGGTCAACATGGTGAAACCTCGTCTCTATTAAAAATATAGAAACTTAGCTGGGCATGGTGGCGCATGCCTGTAATCCCAGCTACTCAGGAGGCTGAGGCAGGAGAATTAAATAAAAATTAAAAAAATATAAAAAATGGGGTTTTGGACCAGGGACGGTGGCTCATTCCTGTAATACCAGCATTTTGGGAGGCTGAAGTGGCTGGATCACCTGAGGTCAGGAGTTCGAGACTAACCTGGCCAACATGGTAAAATCCCATCACTACTAAAAAAATAGACAATTAGCTGGCTGTGGTGGTGCATGCCTGTAATCCCAGCTACTAGGGAAGCTGAGGCTGAAGAATCACTTGAACCCAGCAGGCAGAGGTTGCAGTGAGCCCGTATCATGCCACTGCACACCAACCTGAGCAGCAGGAGCAAAATTCCATGTCCACCCCCACCAAAAAGAAATGGGGTGTCACTATGTTGCCTGGACTGGACTTGAACTACTGGCCTCAAGTGATCCTCTCGCCTCAGCCTCCCAAAGTGCTGTGATGGCAGGTGTGAACCACTGTGCCCAGCCCTGCTTCCATTTATTGAAATATGGTCTCGCTGTCATCTAGGCTGGAGTTCTGTGTCCTTTTATCTTTAATTTTTGTATCTACAATGGAGTAAACGATCCTGATCAGACCCATTTTACAGATCAGACGATCAAGGCCGCAGTTTGCTTAGCCAGCCAAACTGGGGCCCCAGGACCAACTGCTGAGGCCAAGCCCTCCCGACAGAGAAGATGAAGACCCTGGGTGGTCCTGACCACCTCAGTTTCACCATCTGTAAAGCAGTGGGCTGTACCATGCTATGTCTGAGAGAAATCCCCATGGTGCAGGCCTTGCAATGGCCTGTCAGCATCCCTGCCAGAGAGCAGCCCACTCCCACAACCCCATCCAGGACCTCCCGTCCAAACAGCTGAGGCCCAATCACTGCAAGCATTTAGCAGACACTCGCCACAGAAACCTTGCCGTGAACTCTGAGGGCAAGGGGTGTCAGCGGTCGGCGGGGTGGGGGTCCTGGCTCACCATGCTGAAGTCCAGTAGGTCACTGAGCTCCTTGTCCATGCCCACAGGCGCCATTCTCTGTGGCTGGTTCATTCTCCTGGGGCCAGGGTGCGCACCTCAGGACTGGAATCCCTGCACAGTGGATGTGGGAGAGATGGACAGTGAGAAACAGGGAGGGAAGAAGAGCTGAATGTCAAAAGTGCAGAGCAAGGAAGCAGCTTAAAAAGCTCCTCTCCTGCCCTGGGGTCTGGCTTCTGGGCGGGCCCTGGGAAGCTGGAATTCCAGAGTCTGGGTCCCTGAGACTCCTCCCCAGAGGCCACAGGGAGTCTGAAAAATGGGGGCAGGGTGTGCAAATATCAACTCCCTACCTCCCCCAGAAACCACCAAGGAATCAAGCTGCCAATTTCAAACTGCAAACAGGGTGGCCAGAACCTCACCTTCCTCACCACATCTCTCATTTCCAACCACCCCCCTGGGCTTCCTCTCAGGCACCGCTCCAGGAAGGGAAGGGGAGGAACAGCCTGACCCTACCCCACCCCGAGGAAAATTTGGTGACTTCCGCCCACCAGCAGATGTCACAGCACGTTGAAGACCAGGTTGCCCCTAAATTCGACATGAAGGAAACCCACAAGTCAGAAAACCACGAAGCCCTTTCACAAACTTCACGACTTAAGAGGTGGGGTGGGGAGATGAGCCCTATGCAGGGACCCACAAAGCTTCTATCAACCCTTGAATCTCATCCCCCCAGAAAACCCCAGTAGTATTAGAGCAAAAAAAACCCACAACCCTGGCCAGGCGTGGTAGCTCAAGCCTGTAATCCCAGCACTTTGGGAGGCTGAGGTGGGTGGATCACGAGGTCAAGATATCGAGACCAACCAGGTTAACATGGTGAAACCCTGTCTCTACTAAAAATACAGAAAATTAGCTGGGCATGGTGGCGCATGCCTGTAATCCCAGCTACTCAGGAGGCTGAGGCAGGAATTGCCTGAACCCAGAAGGCAGAGGTTGCGGTGGGCCGAGATCATGCCACTGCACTCCAGCCTGGATAAGAAGAGCGAAAACTCCACCTAAAAAAAAACAACCAAACTGCACCTTGGGTTACTCAGCCAGGGAGGCAGAAATAAAACAGGATAAAAAATACCAGCTCAGCCCTTCCTGAGCCTTGGCCCCTCCTGCACCTCTGGCCCAAGGCTGTTTATTCCGAAGGGGTGCTGGTGTTGCTACAGTTTGGAGACTTTTGTTTTTGACAGACCTCGGTGGCCTGCACCTCATCCCTCACCCGGGGGAGGGCAATCACCTGGGGGAGGGTTAAATTCAGACTGAAAGTGCCCTCCCTAACCTGTTTCAACCCCAAAGGCTGCTACTGGGCATGGGGGTGGGGGCAGGACTTAAGCACATCTGCAGACAGGCTAGAAGAAACCAACCCAGGTCCCTGGCTTCTCCAGGAATGCACAGCATGTGGCCCAGAGGCTCCAGCCTCACTGTGCCTGCCTGAGCTGACTTCCAAAGGCTGACAACCTCTGAGCCTCCATCCGCCCAGCTGGAAAACAGGCTGTTCAGAGACAGACCCAAACACCTGGGACTCCCAGGGAGCCACGCTGCCCTCCCCACAGGCCTGCCTGCTCCCCAGTGATGACCAAGACCGTCACACTGGTGGTGCTGCTGTCTGCTCACTGCCCTGCAGATTGCACTCACTCCTAACCCAGCCTCAAGCCTGGCTCCTGGCATCGTAACTTCAGCACCCACGTGTGACTGACCACACAGTCAGCTTCAGCCTGCATCCTCTGTCCACCAGGAGAGTACCGTATGGGCCAGGTCGTGCCTGTCCCATTCACAGAGGGTGGTCCACTCAGTACGGGGCACCCCCTTTTCTTCTTTGAAACAGAACCTTACTCTAATGCCTAAGAGGGAGTGCAGTACCACAATCACAGATCACTGCAGCCTCGACCTTCAGGGATTAACAGATCAGCCTTGCCTCAGCCTCTGGAGTAGCTGGGACCACAGGCACATGCCACCATGCCTGGCTAATTTTTTAAGTTTTTTTTCAAGAAATGGGGATGGCTAGACACAGTGGCTCACGCCTGTAATCCTAGCAATTTAGGAGACCGAGGTGGGTGGATCAACTGAGGTCAGGAGTTCAAGACCAGCCTGGCCATGCTGGTGAAACCCCATTTTTAAAATAAATAAATAAATATTTAAAAAAATAAGAAACGGGGTTTTGGGCCAGGCACAGTGGCTCATTCCTGTAATACCAGCATTTTGGGAGGCCGAAGTGGCTGGATCACCTGAGGTCAGGAGTTCAAGGCTAGCCTGGCCAACATGATAAAATCCCATCAGTACTAAAAAAAATAGACAATTAGCTGGCTGTGGTGGTGTATGCCTGTATTCCCAGCTACTAGGGAGGCTGAAGCTGAAGAATTACTTGAACCCAGCAGGCAGAGGTTGCAGTGAGCCCGTATCGTGCCATTGCACACCAATCTGGGCAGCAGGAGCAAAACTCCATCCCCATCCCCACCAAAAGGTAATGGAGTGTCACTATGTTGCCTGGACTGGACCTGAACTACTGGCCTCAAGCGATCCTTTCACCTCCGCCTCCTAAAGTGCTGGGACAGCAGGTGTGAACCACTGTGCCAGCCATGCTTCCATTTACTGAAATACGGTCTCACTGTCATCCAGGCTGGTGTTCTGTGTCCTTTTACCTTTAATTTTTGTATCTACAATGGAGTAAACGATCCTGATCAGACCCATTTTACAGATCAGAAGATCAAGGCCACAGTTTGCTTAGCCAGCCAAACTGGGGCCCCAGCGCCAACTGCTGAGGCCAAGCCCGCCCCACAGAGAAGCTGAAGACCCTGGATGGTCCTGCCCACCTCAATTTCGCCATCTGTACAGCAGTGGGCTGTACCATGCTGTGTCTGGGAGAAATCCCCATGGCGCAGTCCTCGCCAGGGGCTCTCAGCATCCCTGCCAGAGAGCAGCCCACTCCCCCAGCCCCATCTGGGACCTCCCGCCAAACAGCTGAGGTCCCATCACTGCAAGCATTTAGCAGACACTTGCCACAAAAACCTTCCCATGAACTCTGGGGACAAGGGGTGTCGGAGGCCAAGCAGGGGGTCCTCGCTCACGATGCTGAAGTCCAGTAGGTCACTGAGCTCCCTGTTCATGCCCACGGGCGCCATTCTCTGTGGCTGGTTCATTCTCCTGGGGCCAGGGTGCGCACCTCAGGACTGGAATCCCTGCGTGGTGGACGTGGGAGAGATGGACAGTGAGAAACAGGGAGGGAAGAAGAGCTGAATGTCAAAAGTGCAGAGCAAGGAAGCAGCTTTAAAAACCTCCTCACCTGCCCTGGGGTCTGGCTTCTGGGCGGGCCCTGGGAAGCTGGAATTCCAGAGTCTGGGTCCCTGAGACTCCTCCCCAGAGGCCACAGGGAGTCTGAAAAATGGGGGCAGGGTGTGCAAATATCAACTCCCTACCTCCCCCAGGGACCACCAAGGAATCAAGCTGCCAATTTCAAACTGCAAACAGGGTGGCCAGAACCTCACCTTCCTCCACCACATTTCTCATTTCCAACCACCCCCCTGGGCTTCCTCCCAGCCCCCCTCCAGGAAGGGAAGGGGAGGAACAGCCCGACCCTACCCCACCCCGAGGAAAATTTGATGACTTCCGCCCACCAGCAGATGTCACAGCACGTTGAAGACCAGGTTGCCCCTAAATTCGACATGAAGGAAACTCGCAAGCCAGGAAAACACGAAGCCCTTTTACAAACTTCACGACTTAAGAGGTGGGGTGGGGAGATGAACCCTATGCAGGGACCCCCAAAGCTTCCCTCAACCCTTGACTCTCCTCCCCGCAGAAAACCCCAGTATTATCAGACGGGGAAAAAAAACCCACAACCCTCACCCGGCGCGGTGGCTCACGCCTGTAATCCCAGCACTTTGGGAAGCGGAGGCGGGTGGATCATGAGGTCAAGTTATGGAGACCATCCAGGTCAACATGATGAAACCCCATCTCTCCTAAAACTACAAAAAATTAGCTGGGCTGGTGGCGCGTGCCGGTAATCCCAGCTACTCAGTACGCTGAGGCAGGAGAATTGCCTGAACCCAGAAGGCGGAGGTTGCGGTGGGCCGAGATCGCGCCATTGCACTCCAGCCTGGGTAACAAGAGCCAAACTCCATCTCAAGAAAAAAAGAAAAAACACAACCCTAGGTTGCTTTACTGCCACCATGTACTCGGGAATTATTTTTAAGCAAAACATTGATCCTACCCTACGTGGGGCGCATGCAGGTCCCAAGACCAGAGTGCCCCCGTGTGGTCCCAGGGGGCTCCATACCAGAATGGGGGATGAGGCATCCACCTACCAGTTCCCATTCCACCCCTGGCAAAAGCAGCAGAGAAAAATCTTTGTCCCAAAGAAATGCACTCCAGGCCCCTCCAGTTTCGACTTTCCCCCAGAGGTCCCCAGGTGGGGGTGGGGGCGGGGGCAGCCCGGGAGACACCTCCCAGGCTGGGGGTGAAGAGGGGCATTCGAGGTGGAGCGAGACTCAACTTCAGAAGCGGAGAAATCCCCTCTTTGTCTGCCAACTGGAGGCCCCGTGTGGAATGGGCGCCCTAGCGCAACCACTCGCCCGCTAAGTTTTTTTTTTCTTTTTTGGAGGGCGTGTGAAACTGACTTTGAGGGTTAGGAACCTGCACATTTTTGTGGGGTAGTTAAAACAGTTTTTAAGACAGACTTAGTTGGGGGGGGTGGCAAGCTGAAACGGGCATTTCTACCGGAGCTAGAAGACTTCTGGGGCGTCCCAAGGACTTTTGGAGACTTGGAGGATGTTTGAAGGCACGTTGCACGGCGCAGAAGAAGGACCCTAAAATGCCTTTTTCCTACGGCGAGTCGGCCCAGGAAGCCGGACCTCCCTCCCCCAGCAGTCGGTGCACGCGGCGCGGCCCGGGAGTCTTTGAAGCTTGCAGCCTGGCCGCCGCCTCCCTGCATTAACGCGGAGCAGAAGTTCCCCGCGCGCCCCGCCCAGCACCGACCAGAGCCTGCAGCGCGCGCACCTTCCCCGCGAAGAAAAAAGGACGCCCCTCCTGCGCGCTCCCCGCGAAACTCCGCCGCCCGAGCGAGGCCCCCCTCAACACCTGGGGAAGAGGGAGTCCCCGGGTCCCCGCGAGCCCGGGGCCGGGGCGGTCCTCGCGCCCAAGTTGCTCCGCCAGTCCGGCGCCCCCCACGCCCCCGCCCGTGGCTGCGCAGTTTCCCGAAGTGCGGGGCCGGACGGTGGGAGGACGCGGGCCTGGAGAGCTCTGGGCTCCTCCACATCGCCGCCCCCAAGGCGCGGCACGAAGTTGGAGAACAATAACTCCCGGGCCCCAGGGCGCCCCCCGACGCGGCCCCCGCTCCAGCGCGAGCTGGGCGGGCCGGGGTCCTCTGGGCACAAAGCGCGGGGATCCCGGGTGCGGCCCTCGCCCCCCTCCGGGCTCACCTGCTGGGCGCGGCCGGGCACGCGGCGCACAGGGGGCTGCGGCAAGAAGCTGGGGGTCCCCACTCCGGACAAAGGGGCGTCGCAGCCGAGCCCCCGACTGTCGCGCGTGGGCAGCGGCGCGCGTGTCCCGTCCCGCGGGGCCCGTGCCTGCGGCCGGCCGGGGAGCCCCTGGGGCAGCAACGTGCACGGTGCCCGCCGCCGCGTCGGTTCATACCCGGTACGCCTGCAGCCACCGCCGCTGCCTCATCTTCCTGCAGCGGGAGACATGTGCCGCCCCCACGTACCTCGCCCAGCTGCCTATGCGGATCCCTACACCACCTTCCGGCGGCTCGGCCTCCCGAGCATGCTCGCAAGGTCCCCGAATCCCCGCGAGGCCCACAGCTCAGGGGCGTGGACGCGCAGTGGGGGTGGTCGGACCACAGCACTGAGAGAAAACACGGAATCGGAAGCGAATAAGGACCCTGAGATTGAAAGCTAAGGCAGAACGGCCTGGTCAATCGAAAAACTAGAAAGCCTGATGGGCGAGGATCCCAGCCATTTGTAATGAGGCCCCGCCATGTCCCTTCTCAGCCCCACCCCGCAGGAGAGGCGGGACCCTGCTGGAGAGAGGCCATGAGAAGCCGCAGGGGTTGGTTCTGGAGTTTTGTTTTCTGTTGTTGTTGTTTTGAGACGGAGTTTCGCTC